GCCGACTACTGGGTGGCGAGCGCAACGAACGGACAAATGGTGCAGTATGCTTCACTCAGGTGTAGCGAATCCCGGGAATCCCTTCGGACGACAGAACGGCGAATCCCTGGTTTTGGGAAAAGGAGGGTTGTTTCGTGAAATGCAGGATGCTGGACAATCTGATGTTTGTTCCAGATCACGCCAAGTGCCACTTCTGTTTGGAACAGAGCGTACGATGTTCTGCCGTCTTGCCGCCCCATTGATCTGTCCGTGTCATCGTCCTTTGCAGACAAGGCGACGCCACGATCACAGCCTTCATGAATGGCCATGTTGTTGATTGGACAGTTTGTATAGGTAACGTTGAAGGCAGCAGCAGTGCGTGCGGAGATTAAACTTGCTGTAGGGGGCGGCGTTGAGACTGACGCCGCAAGCCTTTTTCGCCTGTACGCGCCCACTCTTTACCGTATTCTAAAGGTACTGCACGTGCTACTGCGAAAGGTATGTGGACGGTGCTAACAGGGTTAGCTCCGCTATCAGTTGGTGCGTCCAAAGTCGACACCTGCGCCTTCGTAGCAAAGATGCCTTATACGTGCAACCTACAGGAAAATCCCGAATTTTTCTTTTCGCATGGCCTGGCTGAAAACGACTTCTCGAATAGGACGAGGTTGGTTGTGCTAGTTGATGCTCCTTCGGTAAGAGTGGACGACGCACGCGATGCTGACGAGCGCACGTGCGCGTGCACGCATTTGGTGGATGGCGCCACAATTCTCGATGGCGAGCTATTGCGCCCTTGTGAGCGCGAGCACCAGCGTTATCCCAGAACGGAACACCATACTTCGGAAGTCTCTGTAGACGTTCCTGTTACCTGGAAGAGGCCGCACGAGCCCAATTGTCGCGTTTGAGGAAGCGCCTCCCGAACCTGCCGTGGCGGAAGCCTGCTGCGCCGTGGCGCGCGCTTTGGAGCCTTTGCAGCTAGCTGTTCCTGGACGCCCACGCCTGGACAATGCAGAAAGCTGAATTGCAGGCGGTGGTGCGTAGCCTGTGGGAGTGTGGGAGTGAGGTCGTGAACCTGAACGAAGAGCTATGTTCGGATTTGCAGGAGCTGACACCCCACGGCAGCCCTCGACAACTTGTTTGCTGGACAGGCAGAATGCATTGAGAACGCAATGATGATTTGAGTGTATGTGTTTGTGCGTTTGTTTGGCTGTATGTTTGCGTGTGCTCGTGCGTGCAGCTGAGCGTAGCCTATCCACAAAGCTCAGGGAAGCGGCCATCGCCACAGAAGGAACACGCAGTGTAGGGTTCGATGCCAATGATCGCTCTACCGTTTCGGGGGGTTATATCACACGGGTTTTGGGGACAGAGCGTACGATGGGCAGTGGCATGCGCAGCGCCGCTGCTCTTGAAAGGTGTGCTTGAATTACCCCAGGCGCCGTATTTAGATCTTCTGCGTGCGTGGATGTGTTCCCCCATCCCCTGCATGGGCGACGCTGGGAAGCTATCTACTGCTCGGGCACGTTGATAAGCGCGTCGGCGACAGTGCAGAAACTAGGGAGCCAAATAGCGTTACCGACCGCCGGGTTGTGACTAACAATGCTTCAGTTGCGAGCCAATACTATTGCACATTTGAGTGCTATGGGCGTGAACTCGCTACGTGCTTTGTAGCGAGTGCGTGCACGCGCTGAATCTTGGGAACGAGAAGCAAAGGGCTTAGTTGCGGAGGATGCGGTGCCCTTTGTGGTGGCTTTGCACTACGCCAGACTAGAACGTCCACATGTTGGGGTGAATGGATATTGTCACCCTCGCAGCAAAATGGGTAGCGGCGCTCGCAGTGCCCACGCAACATTTGGAACCCTGTATGCAAAGTGTTGCAACTGTCGATAGAGACGGCTTTTGCGTTTGAATGCTTTCTGACGAGCGCGGCAGACGAGCAGAATTGGTTGTTTGCTGCGCAACCTGACTCTGCGCCCCGTTTGCAGCGCACGCTGTTCCAGTGACAAGAGTCGCTCTGAACAAAGTCGACGACTGCTCCGCCGGTTCGCCAGTACGCCACTAGAGTCCACTTAAAGTGTGCCCAGTGTGCTCAGCGTCGGATGCACTGGTAGTTCGTAGGGTGCTGAGGGAGTACAAATCGCGGGCCTGGTGGTTTCTTAGGCCACTTCTTCTCCTGTGACGTTGCCTCAACACCTTAGGCGGATATGTATGTGTCTAATGTACTCCCTGCCAACACACGCACAAAACGTCATCCAGTTCAAGGTCTGTCGCTGGGCGCCCATGCGACGTTCGAAGCGCATCGTCTGTGTTCGTATCTTTGTATGAAATCGACTACCGGGTGGCGAGTGCAGCGAACGGTCAAATGGTGCAGTATACTTCACCGAAGTGTAGTAATTGTCGGGAATCCTTTCGGACGACAGAACTGCGAATTCGGATACATGGAAAAAGCAGTCACCGTTGTGAGATGCAGGTTTGCTGGACAATATGACGTATGGTCTAGACCACGCCAAGTGCCATTTTCGTTTGGAGCAGAGCGTACGATCTTCTGCCGTCTTGCTGCCCCATTGGTCTGTCCGTGCCACCGTCCTTTGCAGACAAGGCGCCGATGCCACGAAGACAGCCTTTCCGAAATGCCATATGGTTTATTGGACAGTTTGTATAGGTAAGTCTGCAGGCAACGCGGTTTTATGTAGGGATTACATGTGTTGTGGGAGGTGACTTTGAGACTGACGGCGCAGGCCATTTCCGCCTGCACAAGCCTCTTTGATAAGGTATTCTGAAGCTGCGGCACGTGCTACTGTCAGAGGGATTCCTGCAGCGCTATCACGGCTAACTCGGTTATCAGTTGGTGCATACATACTCGACACCTGTGCCTGCGTACCAAAGATGCCTTAAAGGTGCAACAGATAGGCAAATGCCGGCTTTCGTTTCCAATTGGCGTGGGTGCAAACGACTCCGCGGATAGGACGAGGTTGAGTGTGCTGATACGGGTCCTTAGGCGAGAGTGCACGACACACGCGGTGCTGACGAGCGCACGTGCGCGTCCACGCATTTGGTGGATGGCGCTACAATTCTCGATGGCGAAGTATTGCGCTCTTGTGCGCGCAGGCACCAGCGTTGTCCCAGTACGCAACCGCATACATCTAAAGACTCTGTAGGCGTTGTCGTTACCCGGAAGAGGCTGCACAAGCCCGATTGTCGTGTTTTCGGAAGCGACGCCTGAAGCTGCAGTGGCGGAAGCCTGTTCCTCTGTGGCGCGCGCTTTGGAGCCTCTGCGACTAGCTGTTGCTGGACGCCCACGCCTGGACAATGCAGAATGCTTTATTGCGGGCGGTGGCGGGCAGCCTGTGGGAGGGTGGGAGTAAGGTCGTGCACTTGTCCGAAGAGCTATGTTCGAATTTGCAGGAGCTGACACCCCACGGCAGCCCTCGACAGCTTGTTTGCTGGACAGGCAGAATGCATTGAGAACGCAATGCTGATTTGAATGTATGTGTTTGTGCGTTTGTTTGGCTGTATGTTTGCGTGTGCTCGTGCGTGCGGCTGAGGGGAGCCTAGCCACGCAGTTCAGGGAAGCAGGCATCGCCACAGAAGGAACCCGTAGTGCATTGTTCGGTGCCAATGATCGCCCTACCGTTTTGGGTAGTTATGTCACACGGGTTTTGAGGACAGAGAGTACGATGGGCAGTGGCGTGCGCAGCGCGTTTTGTCTTGAACAATTTGCCAAAAGCCGTATGCACCTGTTTTACGCAGGCGGATGTGTCCCACCACCCCCTACGTGGGCGCCAGTGGGAAGGTATATACTGCATTTGCAAGGGATTCACATTCACACAGATAACGCAAGCCATTTTGCCTATACTCGTTCCCC